AACGTCTAGACTGGCATGATTTTCCACAAATGCTTTTAACGGAAACGTTTTTCTGTTAAAAGCATCTGCAAAAAAGAGCATCTAGATTGGCACAGATGCTTTTCCACAAAATCACTTTTGTGCAAAAGCATCTGTGGCCAATCTAGACGCGCTTTTGCGCAAAAAAGTCCTGATTGTCATTTTCGCAATCGGGGCTTTTTTGTGCAAATCTGAGCTGTCTACTTTGGCCCTTTTGCACAACAGCTTTGCGCAAAAGGACTTTTGCCCAAACAGAGCAGCATAATTTTTCCGCAAGAAGCACTGATTTCAGACAGTAGGAAGTCAGTGTTCTTGCGGAAATTCAAGCTGCCAGTGTAGACAGCTGGCAAGTTTTTTCACAAACGCAAATGCTTTTGCGGAAAAACTTGCAAGTCTAGACAAAGCCAAACTGTTTAGGAAGGGTTTCAGATGGGGTAGCTGGGTTAATCTATAACTGTAAAAAAACTTAAAAAGCAACTGATAGTCTTGTAGCAGCTTAGAAACTAACAAAACATGTAGATGGTATCATGAGCTTTAGTGGGCACAACTCATTGCTTCAGATGAACGGAGTTAAGGGGACCCATTTCCAAATAAATAGCAGAGAAAAAGACGGGATGGGGGAAGGGGCAGAACACCGTCAACATAAAGAGACAAGACAAAGGAGCTACAATAGAGGCAGAAATCAGGGAGAAACGGGTATCGCACAGCAACAGGCACAGAAGCAATGGGTTTGAAATGCACCGTGTACAAAAGGGCCACAGAGGTAAGTCACCTCTGCCCTGCCCACTCCAAGAGCACTGGAGGCGACTCCAGGCCCAGAGCAGCGCGTTGCCTCGCAGAGGCGTCACTGCGGAAGGGAGGCGGGAAGCCACGTGTACCGCGTGCAGGGAATAGCAACAAATACAACAAGTCTGCCGAGACCATCTCGGAGAGGCGGGAGCGGGACAGGGACGCTGCCCCGGGGGCCAGCAGGACGCTCCGCGCGTCACTTCGCGCGGGAAGCGAACGCTCAGCCAGGGATTTCCCAGGGCGCCCGAGCGCAGGTCACAGCCGGACGCGCCCTCCAGCGCGAGCTGCAAACTCCTGCGTCTCCGCCCGGACCCCTTTGGGTGAGACACCCCGAGCCCGCCGGGGCCACTTCCGGCGGAAGGACCGCGCGGCAGTCGCGCGCGCAGAGCTGCCCCTCGTGCCTTGCGCTCCCGCTGAGGGACCCCCCGCGGCTGCCCGACGTGCTTCGCGGCGCGTGCGGGATGCCGTGCGAGCCGCGCAGCCGCCTGGTGGCCGAGCTGCTGCTGCAGGCGGGCGAGGGATCCCGCGGCATCCTGTGCCTCTGCTCGCGGGCCTTCGTGGAGTGAGTAGGGGTGGGCCCGGCCGCCAGGGGGCGCCGCCGCGTGCTCCGAAGCCGGGCGGGGCCCTGGACCCCTCCGGGAACGAGCGGCCCGTAGCGGACAGCCGCGTAGGAATGACAGGTTGAGCCAGAGAGACCTGGTGGAGGGTCAGTGGCAGGAGCCGGGAACCCAGTCAGCCTGGCTGCAGGCAGGCCAGCGGCTGGGAGCCCTGCCATGGGAATCTGGCTGAGCCGGTGACAGGGTGGCTGGAATGCTAGCAGGCTCCGGCAGGGCAGTGGGGTGGCTAGGAGCCCTGTCAGTGGGGCTGGTGCTGCCCTGGTAGGGCTGGCAGGGTTGGAAACCCCGGCTGCTGGCAGGAGTCTCAGGAGCCGGACTGCTGTGGAAGGGCTGGTGGGGCCAAGAGCACAGGGGGTGTAGGTTGGGCAGTGGTTTGCCATGGTGAAGCTGATAGCCCCAGTAGAGGATTGAGGGCTGCTTTGCCAGAGCAGCAAGGATGGTCTCACGTGGGGAGCCCAACAGGAGGACAGGCCAGGAACAAAGCCAGGCAGGAGGGCCGGTGGCAGGGTAGGCAGAAATGATCTTCCCTGGTCCAGCAAAATCTCTTTCAGGACCACTCAGATCACGAGAGTGCTGGACCAGGGAGAGCCAACCTGCACATTGTTTTTGCATGTCCACACTATGTCCCTTGTGTTGGCAGTGCATGTCTTCACTAACAGTGGTTGCATCGATTTAACTGTAAATGTAGTTCAAGGGTGGGAAAACTTTCTATCCGGCCACTGATCAACAGAAAAATATAAATTGAGGGTTATAGCCATGGGTGAGGGGTTCGGCTCAGGGTGGGGCCAAATATGAGAAGTTGAGGGGACAAGGGATTGGGGTGCAGAAGGGAATGAGGACTGCAGTTGAGGTCTGAGCTCTATGATGGGGATAGGGATGAGGGATTTCAGGCCAGGGCCAAAGAGTTTGAAATGTGGAAATAGGATCAAGGCTAGGGCAGGGGGTTGGTGTGCAGGTGCGGAGTCTGGGAAGGGCATTAAGAAGTGGGTGGGGGTTCTGATCTGCAGCAGGACATTCAAGGTGTGGGCTTTAACCACTATTTATTTAATGTCAGTATATCACATAGGCAGCTGGTCAGCTCTGCAATATCTTGCTTTTTTTAAATCTTGAGTGTCACCTTCAACAGCTTCATGTACAATTTGTCCTTATGATTACATTCATTGGTATCTCCTTCTTTCCCTTTATCTGATGAATATTGGGTCAGCACTTCATCTTCATTTTGTTCTCCAGTCTTAATTTGTGATATGTGGTCTAAGGATGTTAAGAGGCAGTAAACTGGGTAATTGTGTAGTTTGTATTGACTACATGATTAGTTGATAAGGAAAGGAGCTACCCCCACTGTGGCTCTGCAGTTTAAATGTAGTAAGAGCCAGGCATGCAGGCAGCCCAGCTCCTACTACATTTAAACTGCAGAGGAACCGGTGTGAGCTGGGACTGAGCCGGGACTGAGCCAGGCTTGCTCGGTCCCAGCTTGTGCAGGGTCCAGCAGCCCATGTGCATGGGACTGTTGCAGAGCAGCCTCCTCTGCCCCCCCCCCCACTTTCCCCTCCCACACACTGCTGCCTCTAAAGTGAATTATCTAGTTATTTACATAGACTTGCTAACAGTCACCATGATGCAATCAAAAGGGTAGTCTGCTGTCTACATTGGGGCATTTGTGCTGGAATATCTGACAATATTTGATTGTGCTTTTATGTGTATTTGTTTTTCAAGTGACTGCTCAGTTGACCGTCTTTCCTAATCTACTGTACAGTGTGAGCAAGACAGGATGACGCTATTATGAGCTTGGCATTGTGCTAGGAGCAGCAGCGGGGTGACAAGGCCTACCCACTCAGCCCTTTCTCAAGAGAAATCTGAACGTGTGGGACCTGACGCTGTCATGAATGATCCTTGATCTAGCAAAGGGCATCCTGTGAACAGTTCATTGTAGGATTGGAGCATTAGATTTCCCCTCTGCATAGCTAGTGGGGGAAGCCCTTATTTCTCAGCAGCTGCATTTACAATCAGTCTTGTTCTTTCAAATTTGTTCTGTGACTGGTCAATGGTGTTGCCTTTTCGTGGTAGTTATGTTGGGTTTTTTTGTTTCTTTTTAAGCCTCTCATGATGACGATGATGTGTTTTAATGTTGGGGTTTTTTTCATTTGTTTTATAGGGATCGAAAATTATATAAATTAGGACTAAAAGGGTTTTATGGCAAAGAAGATTATGACAGTACAGGTAAAGTATGCCTGGTGATTTAAGTTGTCAGGGTTGATTTTAGTTCAGGTGCCTAAATTAATTACTAATTATGTCATAAATATATAGTGTGTGACAATATGTGAATTTTGTACACCTGAGATTACATTAGTTATTCAGGATGTGGTAGTGCTGTATAGTTGCTAACCTATAATCATACATTAGTTTCTCATCCATTTCTCAATGCTTTTGTTTAAAGGATCTCATCTGTGTAAAGATAACAATTATTCTTGAAGTGTACATTATATTCTGACAACTGTTCTGCTCTGATTAACATTCTTAGTATTGTGGTTTTATATTTTTTAAATGCCTAAATCAGTGTTCTCTATGGAATTACATATGGTCTGCATTTAGCAAGCTTCACTAGTATGCAGTGCCTATGTTGGCAATCATTTTTGTACCTTTAAACGTATTTGTAATTATGTCAGTCTTTTTAATGGTGAATTGATAGCTAGCTGAATCCTTTTGAGCTGATTTAGTGACATTCTTGGATGCCATGTTTTGTAAAATTGTGTGATCTGTTATTAATCAACTTGTAAAGTTACTGACCATTTCCCATGGTTTAATGATGCATAGGTCTATGCCAAAAGAAGTTCTGTGAAGCATTTACTTCCAGTCCTCTGTCCATTGCTTTTTAAATTTTTGGTCAGATACTATCAGGCGTTATGTGTTTTATAAGTATTTGAACAGCTGGGACTTGATTTTCAAACTCTCTATTTTGCAAGCAAAAAATTGTGGCTGTAGTACGGATGTTAAATTTAGATTAATTAACTAATCGAATAGTGGATGGGATTTCCATCGACTATTTCATTAGTCTATAAGGGCACCATTGCCTTTGAACTGTAGCAAGAGCCTTACCGGCCACAATTGAAAAGTGGAAGCCCCGCAAGGATCCCAGTGGGGATCTTGTACATTTCAAAAGGAAGCCCGTGGGACCAGCGGGGAACCCTTCTGGCCAGCGCTCCCTGCAGCACCAGAGCCTTTGAAATAACCTTCTGCCCCAGGGCTCTTGTATATCAGATAATTGACTCATCTCTCCCATCCCTAGGCTGTAGTGACTTGCACCACAGGTCAGTGTCCCTGCTCCATTCATGCTTTTTCCAGGGAATTTATTTTGATTGCAGTTCATTGCAGGGGCAAAAATTGTGCAGATAAATATTGAGGCCCTGTTATAATTAATTGAAATATTTACATTATTCAGAAGTTCAAGAATTCTTGTCTGCCTTTCTCAGCTGATGTATTTTTTAAAAAATCAACAAAAACCTATGCACCTTGCAGAAATGTAATCATTTCAGGTAAAATGGTGATAATTGGTTTTGCTGCTGTAATCAGCTAGTGAGAGATGGAGAAGGCCGTGTCTACTAAGCAGCTATCAAGCATTACCATAGAATGTAACTTGAGGTGCAGATCCACTGATTCTGCCTCAGAAAGATTCAGAGCAGAGCAGGGTAGAATTGAAACCAAATTATGAAATTGTAACTAACTATAACCTGTTAATAGGAGAGGAGCAAACAGAGGAAGAGAAGGAAGAGAATCATCACTGCAACGTGACACAAAATTCAAACAACAATCATTCTTTGGGCCTGGAAGAGTATGAACTGGACTCAGAGGCTGAACTCATGAGGAGTATGGGGTTACCACTTCAGTTTGGAGGACTGTCAGCTCACAAGGAATTTGTGGTAAATTCCAGTTTATTGTGCTTTTTCTGTGTCTGAACTATGCAAGTAAGTTGAACACTGTGTGTTGTGGTTTTCTGCACACATGTGAAGCAGTTGGTTCAGGCAGAGCAAGTTATTGGATTAGAAACTGATTAATTTCTTGAATGAACCAGATTATGAATAAACTAATCAAAACACAATATTAAAAACAGTGGTACACAATATATGGGACACTAATGACGACAAAGGTAATTTATTTCAAACCTAAATAGCTCACAAGTTTTATATTAATAATAGTACAAAGAAATTGAATGGGAAATCAATACACACTACTTTTTATATATAGAACACTGATAAAAGAGGTACTTTATGAAGCCTATGTTAGAATAAAATATGGTATAAGAGCTGTGAAGGAAGTGGCATCAGTGACAGATTAGAGTTTGCTTTCTGTAACTAAATTCTTGAATCTCCAGCTTCTTCCTCTTGATGAGGCCACATAAAATCTAAGAGCAGATTTGAGTTTAAGTAACTCTCATGTTTGACTTTCAGATTCATAATAGAAAAGTTTTGTTCTAAAATATAGGTACTTTCAAAGATACTTTTATGTATAACAACCCCGTTAGGTAACTCCGGACGTCTGTTATCCAGCAGGCATTAAGAAAAAACGAGTAAGATCTCTTTTGCAAAACTTGGATCACAGCATTGTAAAGTGTGTTCTAAGTGAACTTTGATAGCAACTGAAAATGGATTTTCAGTCTAACAACTTGAACACTGCTTGTTCTTTTGAAAATCTCCACCATTGACGCAAATGAATTTTGAAGCTCCTTTCCTTAGTACTACAAAGCCAAGTGATGCTGACTGTGTTTTAGAAGTAAATTTGGGGACGTACTGTGTAAAGAACAATGGTGCTGTTAAGGGGGTTTTTTTTAAGCCCCTGGTCTTGTTAAGCTGTGCTTTGGGTAACATAAACTTATTCTCTTTCTCTCTTACTGATACATTAATAATTTTGTGGATTTAGCCAAAGATCCACTATCAGACATTGGTAAAACTACTTCTTGATCTCTGTCAATGTCTTTTAAAAATGGCTGCAGGCCAAATTTATTGCTTGAGTAAATATAATTACTACATCATGGTGAATGGAGTTTCATTTGTTTATACCAGTGAAGAGTTTAATACCATGTGACCATCTCGTTACCTTTGTCCTCTTGATAGTTGCTTCCCTGTCTCTTCTCCTTCACCATTAGATAGCTTCGTCAGGTTTACCTTGTATCTTGGACAGCAACTAGAAGAGCTGATTGCTGTGGCAGGAATTCATTTCTTCTGCGGCTCCTCACCAAGGGGGCTTTTGGAATATATTCTACCAGTGATCTCATGAGTAGAGCCCTGCAAATCCGTGGATGTGGACATGAATATCTACAGCTCATTTTGCAGATAGGGATGCAGAAATAAATTTTGAATCTAGAACCCTGCAAATTTGCGGATATGGATGCAAATACAAATTTTCTATCTACACAGGGCTCTACTGATGAGTAAGAGATGATTTTTGTCATGGATGCTTTTACTAAAAGTCATAGGCAAGTCACAGGCAATAAACAAAAATTCATAGAAGCTATAACCTATTCCTGACTTTTGCTAAAAATATCCATGACAAATGGGGAGGGAAGAGGGTGCAGTCGCATTGAAAGGCTAGGAGATAGAGGGGAATCACCCTCCCTCCCCCCCCGCCCTGCAAGACTTGGAGCTCAAGGGACCCCCACTGCCTGCAGTGACTGGGAACTATGGAATCCCCTTCTGGGTCTGGCCTGTTCTAGGGCCCCAATGTCATGGAGGTTGTGGAAAGTCTGTGTGTTCCATGACGTACTCATATCTGGACTTCCGATGAAATAATACTTGCTTTATGCTTCTGAATAACAAGTGAAAAGTGGAAGCAAGAAAGAAGGAAAGAATAAATTCTTCCTTGCAAATTACTTGGTTCTGGGAATTTTTTAAAAACACATTTTATTTCTCTTTACTTTTTAGGCATCAGAAAATTCCAGAAAAAGGAATAGCATAATGAAGAAGAAAAAGAAAAAAAAGTTGCATGAAAAGCACTTGAATGAGATCATGCGGGAAACCTGGAAAGAAGATTTTGAAGACCACGCCCAGTCTTTTTCAGATGATTCAGCTTTAGTTACAGAACAAACGAAGGAGAAAAAAACATTGCAGCTTTTGAAAGATGACAACTGTGAAAATAGAGATTGCAATATTAATGATGCTTTGCCTAATGAACTGCAAGAGAAATGGGAAAAATACTGGAGTGAGTATGGAGAAGGTCTTCTGTGGCAAAGTTGGCTGGAAAAGAACACAGAAGTAGAATTGTCTGAGAGTGCACCTACATCTGAGCCCTGGAACTCTCCTGACACCAAGGAAATGTGGGAGCAGCATTATAATGAGCTATACTGGTATTACTGGGAACTATTTCAGTACTGGGCAAGTCAAGGGTGGACTGTTGACAGCTCCCATAATGATGGCACAGAAATCAATGCATTTAAATTAGAAATGGATCTACCAGGAAAAGTAGACTGTAGTACAGATGCTGTCTTTGGGCAAGTGCTGGACTCGCAACTTTCTTCTGTTCCTCTCTCCAACACCAGAAGTAAAGAAAACCCAGTTTCACATGATGAGCACCATAATGAAATCCTCACTGGGATTAGTAACTTAAATCTGGATTTGGAGGAAGTGGAGAAGAGCAAATTAGCCCTAACAATACTTTATGATAGCCATCAAAATCTGAATTCGACTTGTAATAAAAGGCAGTGTCCTGGTGTTTCCAGCCAGAAAGAATCATGTGATGGAGGAACCAGAAAAAGTGCATCTCCTGAAACTATAAGTGTTACCCAATCAGGTCAGTATAGGATTAGCTAAGATTGATTCTGGTAATATTCCCCCAGATGGTTCTGTATCGCACAAGAACTGACCTTAGCCCTGTCTTTGTTACTCAGTTTAAGTCTAGGGATCAAATGTTTTGTAGAATGATTAACAACTTAATTCTGTTTTATTCTGTCTAATTAACTCCAAGCCTCATCTCTCTCCTTTTAGACCTTATTATTGAACATCGTCTTTGGATAAAGGTGTTTTCATGGAATATCTCTTTTTATAAATCTAATGGATATACTAGAGAAGTGGTGGGATAACAGTATTAGGGTGCGTCTACACTGCACCATTATTCCAAAATAATGGCCATCATTCTGGAAAAACAATACTAGCAAATGCATTATTTCAAAAGAAAATTGAAATAATGGATGGCTTTTACTGACGTTGGTAAACCTCATTCAGTGAGTAATAATGCCTCTTCTGAAAAAGCTATTTCAGAAGAGGGGGTGTGTGGATGCTCCATTGCTGCTATGTTGAAATAACTTGGAATGGCCCTGGTGAGGAGCTATTCCTCCCCAGTGCCTCCTGGGGCTCTAAATCGAGATAGAGCATCCACACTATAGGAAAGCCTCAAAATTAGTCCCAGGCAGCCTCCCCTAATGTGGACGCACTATTTTGAAATAAGCTATTCTGGAAGATATCTTCTGGAGTAGCTTATTCTGAAATAAGCTTGCAGTGTAGATGTACCCTCAGTGCTTTTTCATTTTAAGTCTTTCTACTAGTCAGGTGATATACTATTGTATAAAAACACAGTCCAGTTGGCTTCCTACTATGTACCCAACTCAGTAGGTTTAAATAAATAGAACAGAAATTAATAAATTGGGTCTGTAGAAGATCAAATCTGAAGGAATGTCCTTATAAATATGAGTTTCAGAGGGGTGGACAAGTTTGTCTGTAACTGGAAAAACTTAAAAAACAATGAATAGTCTAGCAGCACCTTAAGAGACTAAAAAAACATGTAGATGGTGTCATGCTCTTTCGTGAGCACAACCCACTTTTTCAGATGAATGGAGTTATTAAAGGTTCAGGTTCTAAATAAATAGGGGATGAGGGGGAAGAGAAGGAAAAAGAAGGGGGGGAAAAGGGAGGAAAGAAATGGTCAATTAGAGTGCCCATGCTACATGAAGCTGACAGAGAAGTTGCAAATTGTTCTTAAAAACCCATTGTTTGTTTTTTTATGTCATTAGAATGTGGAATATAGTAGGCCATCCAGCCAATGTCTTTATTTATACCTTTGTGATAGGTATCAAACCTGTAAATTAAGTTCTAAGGCTTTCTTGTGGAATTGGCTTGTGGAATTAGCCTGTGTAGTGAACAGGGGTGGCTGCTCACTGACCCCAAGGGGGAAGAACCCCTCTCTGAGCCTGATGGGCTGAGCCGGGTCCTGACCCTTTAACTCCACAGAAGCCAAGGAGCGGGGCAGGGAGCATTAAAGCCCAGCAGCTCAGTAAGGGCTCAGCCACTGGAGGAAGCAGAAGCCTGCCCTGAGCTGTCCCTCCAGCAGGGCCCTGAGAACCTTGGAGAGGCTGAGGACTGGCCCGGACCACTGGGCCTCTACTCCAAAGGAGACCTTATTTAGCCTACCCAAGGACTCAGATGGCAATGACCCCAGCAGCCCATGGGGGGCCAGGTAGATAACAGGGGGAGTTAGGAAGTGGCTCAGGGGAAGCCAACAACTGTCAGGCAGACCTTATAACACTTTAGAGTGTGTCAGCATGTTGCGTACCCCATCCCAACTGACCCCAGTGACAGCCAGGGCTACCACTGCTAGGGCCCTGGGCCAGGACATAGTGGAGTAGGGAGGGCCCGTGTCTCTTCCCCCCTGCATCCCACATACGGTGGCCAGCTCTTCCACCTCCCCGCTTGTGCCGGGGAAATTGTGTTTGTTTGACTGCCTCACCCTGAAGTAGAGACTGGACTGTACTAACTTTGGGACTGTGTTTGCTTTGCTGCCCTGCCCTGAATCAAGGCTGGGCCCTTGCTGACTGTGGGACTAGGTTTGTGTTGCTGGCCGCCCTGTACTCCGGGACCAGGGTTTGAAGGAAGCTGCTGGACCTCCGCGTACAAGCCTGAGCACAGGTCAGGGGCCCAGGACTAAGCCATTCAGCTTATAGCCCAAAACAATATGATGACTTTGAGATCCACTAATGAGTGCCTGGGTGAGTTAAAATGTTCCCCAACAGGTTTCTTTGTGATGCCTTTTCAGATATCTGATTTGTGTCCATTAATTCTTTCCTGTAGCGACTGTCCAGTTTGGCCAATATACATGGTAGAGGGACATTGCTGGCATATGATGGCATAGATAACATTAGTGGATGTGCAGTTAAATGAGCCTCTGATGTAGTGGTTTATGTGATTAGATCAGGTGATGATATTGCTCGTGTATACGTGTGGATAGAGTAGGCAACAGGAGTGATTGCAGGGATGGGTTCCTGGATAATTATGATGAAAGTTTGTTGCGTTGACAAATACTGGAAAGAATTTGTTGAGATTAGGGAGTTGTGTCTAGGTGAGTATGGGCCTGTCCTCCAATAAGGTAAGTGTAATGGTCGGTAGCTTTCCAGTATAAGGTGGTGGAAACGTGTTCGTCATGTAATTGTACTGTAGTGTCAAGGAAATGCATCTCTTGTGTGGACTGGTCTAGGCTGAGGTTGATGGTGGGGTGGAAGTTGTTGAAATCTCTGTGAAATTCTTTAAAGGTCTCTTTCCTGTGGGTCCATATGATGAAGATGTCATCAATGTAGTGTAAGCAGAGTAAGGGAGCCAGGGGTGAGAGCTGAGGAAACATTGTTCAGGGTCAGCCATAAAGATGTTGGCATATCGAGGGGCCATGTGGCTGCCCATGGCTGTGCCTCTGACTTCTTGAGAATACTACAGGTCAGTAATCTTCCTGAAAACACCATCCTGGCCACCATGGACGTGGAAGCTCTTTTACACCAACATTCCACGCAAAGATGGATTACAGGCTGTAAGGAACACTATCCCTGATAATGCCACTGCACATCTGATTACAGAGCTCTGCGACTTTGTCCTCACCCACAACTATCTCCTATTTGAAGACAATTTATATCTTCAAGTCAGCAGCACATGGGAAAGACCCTTGAAGAATTTCACAGGGATTTCAATAACTCCCTCTCCCCCTCCGCCCGCCCTTCCCCTATTAGAAACTGGACCTTTAATAACTCCCTTCATCTGTAGAAGTAGGTTATTCCCACCATCTATATGTTTTGTTAGTCTTTAAGGTGCTGCAAGACTATTAGTTGTTTTTTAAGTTTTTCTTATAAACATAGTACTATCTACACTTCATCTTCCAGTGTCTGCTTCAAAATACTATACCTGTCCGTTTTTGCTTGATTCAACATACGTAAACCACAGCAGCCTTCTGCTTACTGCACTATAAACTATTAGCTATGGACAAATCAAGTTTGCTGCACTATCTAACCCACAGGGGAAACAACACTGACCAGTATAACTGACAGTTTATTTTGTAATATTGTCCTGGACCACAACCAAAATGGGAATGAGTTATCACCTGGGGAAAATGAAGCTACTTGTTACTGTAGATGCTGGCAGGGTTTGCTTAGAAAGGGATGTGATGGTCATTAGGAACATACAAGATTGTCTGGCGGCTAGACCAGAATCCTGAGAGTTGGTTCCCACTTTCTAACTTTCATGTGTTTTGGAAGGTAGGGAAAATAGCCCTTTTCCTTCTTTGTCTGCCACTTCAGCCTTCCTGCACTCCCCAGAGACAGCTGTATCACCCTTTTGTACCGCTCTGTGGCTTCTTCTGCTAAAGAGGAAGGGTCGAATATGCAAAGCCAGCAGCAGCTGAAGTGTCAGAAGCTTTATGCAGAAACCTGAAGTAGCCATTGCTGAGGAATGTAAACAGTGCACAGATTTCTGCTCCTTCTTCCCCCTTCTCTTGGCAGCTTCACAGAAATACCAGCGGTAGAAAGTTGGAGCCAGCTCTCAGCAGATCCCCTTCCCCCTTTCATTCTGAGTGAACTCTGTTCTCCATAAATTGGTGCCTCTAGCCCTGGGACTGTCAAAGGGTTGTTTGAGTGCTGCTGTGAGTTCGTGTCACTGCACTATCCTGGCTAGGGAAATGTATGGTTGACCAATTCCAGTTAACCAGTGTGGGCTGGAGCAGCTCCATCCCTGCGGAACCTGCCGTGGAGGGGGGAAGGGGGGGAAACCAGCTGGAGCAGTTACTGTCCGTTGTTGAGATTTAGGAGAAAAGTAAAGGTACATGTGGTTTAGTAATCACTTACTTGTCAGTTTCAAATACACAATAGCATACATCTTTAAAAAGCTCTCTAAAAGAAGTAATTTTTTGTAAACTAGAGAAAAGATGATTTGACAATCAAAAACTGCATTTTTTTATGCTTCTTTAGATTCACAGGCGCTATCTGGACCTAATTCAAATGACCAAAGAAGATCACACAACAATGATGAGGAAGAAGAGGAAGAAGAGCCACCTGAATATAAACATGCCAAACTCAAAAGGAGGCAAGTGATAAATTTGGGTTTTTTTTTCTATTTCTAAAATTTCTTCTTTTGTGTTCCTGTTCATTAGAGTGGATACGCAGACCACTTTGAGAAACCCTGATTTAGATGCCGATGGGTAAATGTCATTCTTGTAGCATTAGAAAAGAAAAATGCTCATGTCTTAAGGTAGAGAAAGCCGATTGTCTCCATTCATATGAACAGATTTCCCATGTCTAGATTGCAACTTGGAGGATATAAATGCAAAGGTCACAGTGACACTTACTGATCTGTATATTAAACTTCATTAACGTTTGGGTTTCTTCATGATGTAGCCTTTAAAAGCACACAAGAGAAGAGTACAAACTGTGGTGTCTGCCAATGTCAATGGGAATTTTTCCTATTTTAGTAAGAACTGTAATAAAAATGGTGACTTGAGATGTCTGGTTTTTTTTTATAGCCATGAACTGGATGCTGATGAAAATCCTGTTGCAGATGCTGAGGAAACTTGTTCTCTTCTGGGATTCAAGCACGGCACAGGACAAAAGTAATGATTTTATAAACAAATTCAGTTTCCCCCCAACTCCTGAAAGTTAACTTCTTTTATGCTTTTGGTGCCCCATTACTATTATTTTCAAGTGTGCCAGCAATATCTGCTCCTTTTGACTATTAAGTTATTTGAAGATTATTTTGAAAATTAGTGTTTGTGCTTAGTCATATTGTAGATTTATCTTGAGGGATTGCATCTCTTCTTTTCAACTCCTCCTGCAAAGTGCCAAAGATGAATTAGAGTACATCTACACAGCATCATTATTTTGAAATAACTTAGTCTGCGTCTACACAGAAGGCAGTTATTTCAAAATAATGTCAAAATACTGCCAAGCTGGAGGACTTCTTACTCCCAGTCCTGTAACCCTCATTGTACAAGGAGTAAGGGAAGACAGAGGAACAGGGCTCTATTTCAAAATAAGTGCCATGTAGATGCTCCCATTTCAAAATAAGTTACGCAATTGACATAGCTCAATTTGCGTAGCTTATTTTAAGTTAAGCCCTGCTGTGTAGATGCACCCTTAGAGAATAATAAAAGTGCTTTGAAGTGATGGTAACTAGTTACCAAGTTTTAAATTAGATGGCATCCTAAAGTATAACTCATCTTTTGTTAAAGTGCTTGTGGTTTTATAAATATCTTGGTTTTATGAAATTATGGATTAGTCTTTTAAATTCTCTGCTTTTGGGAGCTCTCATTGCTAATTGTCTTTAAAAAGTTTGGAGTGTAGCTAGGACTCAGATACTTATTGCAGCTATTTTATATTGGGACAGAGCCTCTCTTCTGTTAATGCAGATGTTGAAAAATAAAACAGTTGTCAGTTGCCATGTACTCAGTTTTTCCATGGTGATCTACAGAATTGGGAGGGATGGGTTGTTTTAGTTGTGGAGTTTTAACTTGGTTTTGGAGTTGCTGCAAGGTGTAACTAACACACAGTGTATAAAGCACAAACATTTTAATTTTGAGGGCTATTTGGGTACTTAAATTTGAATGTAGGTTGACAGGTGTAATTTTAAGATAATGTTTGGCCTGTCAGCCTTGACAGTCTCTCTCTAACACTTTATAACAGGTACAAAGGTGAATCCCACATAGTTAAATATCTGTTGAATTTCCTTAGGTGATAAATAGCATTGTTTTTCAGTTTCTGTGAGTCTGTAGGGAATTACTTTAACTTTACAAATATCTCTCTTTTTCTTTCATTTTTGTTTGGAGACAGACATTTATCAGACATTTATCTTCTTGAGAACTATAAAAAGGAAAAGTCTGAAGTCATTTTTGGTACACCTTTTCTTAAAACTATTTCTCTAGTAGATGTGGCAAGGCTATTTGGCAAGGGCTGCAAGTCAGGTATACAGTATTTAAATGGAAGCTTTAAGTGAAGCAAACTCTGTTCATATGAGATTAACAGTGAAAGTTTGCCTGTGCCAGCTTGTTTATTGTAAACTGCCTTCTTCCAGAAGTGTATATTCCTTGTCTCATCTTTCCATATTTATAATTAGCCATATTAAAGTTAAACTATGGCCCACTTACTCCATTCATTTTGATTGTAGATTTGGGGGTATTTCAAACTTCAGCTGCAGGAGGGTCCAGTATTTGGAGAAAAATGCAAAGCTCAAATCCCAGTTCTTGGACATGCGCAAACCAGCCAAGAGAAAAAACAAACACATCATCTTCACAGAAGAGTCAGAAATGTTGTCTTGCCAGAAAAGTAAAACTTTGAGCAAGGTATAAATATTTTATAAGTTTAATTATTAGTATTATGATAGTGAAGCACCCTAACCACAGTTCCATAGATGTATCCTTGTTTGTTCTGATAACTGTGAAAAAGAGTGTTTGGGCCAGTAAAGATCGAATTAATGGACATTATTAAACATCAGCCTGGCTCCCTTTATTGCTTTCACATTTTTCCTAGTAAAGAGCACTTTATTCAGGAAAGACATCAAAACAGCACAAGACTATTCATGAATTGTTTTGAAGAATGTCACTTTTTTAAGAATGTCAGTTTAACAGCCAGCTTATATAAACAACTTTCCTTGCTTTTAGATTCTCATTTGTTCAGTATTGTGTCTATATAGAACATTGACTTGTATGCATTTTTTAATACATGTGTTTCCATTTTGAAACACGTATTAATAGTGAGGAAAGAATATTTGTGTGAATATGCTATAGTGAAATATATACATCTGCACACTTTTTTTTGATTTGTATATAAAAATATCCCAGCAAACTTTATCCATTCTCCTGTCCATCGCCCAGATTTTTGCTATGTTGTTGCTGTGATCACCCAATCAGTGGATTAGGTTTCAGCTTGACTCAACAGAAGTTAGCTAATTGTTTACTCTTATAGAACTGTAGCCATTGCTCTTTAGTCATTACTTTTTCTTCCTTGTTATATTATTTTGATAACTTTAGTATTCTTGTTGGGTTTATTTACCCTTATTAATTTTAATGTAATCTCAATTTTAACTCTGTTTCAGTAGATTTTTTTTTGCCTAGAAATTAGTCATGTATATAGAGAAACTTGTTTACAAATGATTTTTCTAGTGAGTAGCCTCCTTTTTAGACAGTCTTTCTATTAAACAGACACCGTTCTTGTCCGTCTGTCATGGGATTTTCAACTTTCACACACACATGCATATATGTATGCAAATATATGGGTGTGCATTGTATTTGTATGTCAAAGGTTGGATTGGCTTCAGCAAAGTTCTGCAGTGGCTTAGGGGATAGGGCATTTGCCTGGGGAGCCCTGGGGAGTGCAGTGTGGTGGGCTTGAGCCCTGTCCCCCCCTCCGCAGATCAAGCTCTGCTCCCCCCACATCCTAGAGGATGGAGCTGGCTCCCACATTAGGAAGGCAGGGAGGTGGGGTGGCTTCTGGAATGGCTTAGGGGATAGGGCATTTGCCTGGGGAGCACAGAGTGATGGGTTCAAGTCCAGCTGCCCTGGGAGCAGCTGGAGGCTTGAATGTCTTGCTTCTCTGTGATCTTCAGCTTCCACCAGTATCCGGTAGTCCCATTTATAAGCAACTTGTTTCAATGAGACCTGCTGTACATCTCTGGCACTTTTTTAGCATTTGTGAATTGACTGAAAACATGCGACAATGAGGAGATACAACATTTATAAACATTTTAAATAATCTTCTAGAGGAAAAACTCACATGAGAACAACTAAATATTTTACCGTGTAAATGTGAGGAAAGCCAACAACAAGGGCTCTGATGATCATGCCAGCTTGTAAAATGGTAGATAACCACAATGATCAAGTTTTGTCCCGTTTCGACAATGCGAACCTCCAAATGTTCACAATCACAGCACTAGAAATCCTCATTGAGCAGAGAAGATGAGTGCTTAACCTTTATCAAATTATCCCAACAAAGATCAAACAAACAGCAGGTATTCCAGAGAATTGGAATAAATCTGGGCGCTAAAGTTATGCTTTGATACAATGCTGACCGGCGAAAGGCTTGGTCAACAGCAACATTAGCACCATCACCAATATAATAAGAAAGAGAATGAGACAGAATGGGTGGCTAAGTATGATTCAAGCTAGTTGCTGTTAGCCATCCAGTCTTTCTCCTACATTGTTAGCTTAAAACTTTATTTTTGACTTTTTGGTGTACTTTTTTATTATTATTTTTAGTCTTTTGGTGCGCTTTAGAGAGAGTGTCTTTTTTTAAAGTATTTTTTATATATACATATTTTTAAGGTCTGTTAACTTACATTCTCCTAGGACTCAAGGGATTTCCAAGTTTCCTATTGCAAAAAATTATTTTCTAGCCTTGATGGTTAGTGGTGTGTCATACCTTACATTTGTCTCTTAAACTCACTGATCGAAGTCTGAGTACTCCTATCCCACATCTGAGGCCAGTATAATTCTGGAGAAAATTCTACTTTGTGGAGATTAAGAAAGAAATGTATGGCTATCTGAAAATGACTGCATACTTCCCTAAAGTTTACATGAGAGGGGCTATGTCCTGCTGATGTAAGGCCAATCCTGCAAAAACAGTAATGGTAATGTTAAGTTTAACCATATATGGAAGTCTTTGAAGGATCAGGGCTCTAAGGCTATGCCTACACTATAGGCTTCTTGCACAAGAAGCTTTTTGTGGAAGAGACCTTCCGCAAAAACTTCTTGCGCAAGAGCATGTCCACACTGCAAAAGTGCATCGAAAAAGTTATGTGCTTTTGCACAAGAGAGCATCCAGACTGCATAGATGCTCTCTCGAAAGAAAACTCTGATTGCTATTTACAGAATGGCCACCAGGGCACCTGTGCTTTTTTTCGATTGCCTCTTTTTGCACAAAAAAACCCCTGTTCCCCGTCCACATACACCTTTTTGTGCAAGAGCTCTTGTGCAAAAAGGAGTTATTCCTCGTAGAAGGAGGAATACCTACACCGGAAAAACCCTTCTGTTCTTTCGTTTTACTTGTGCAAAAATGTGCTTGAGGTGTGGACGCTCCGTGAGTTTTTGCGCAAAAACAGCCATTTCTGTGCAAAAACTATGTAGTGTAGACCTAGCCTGTTGTTACATTAATTAGCTAAGGCATTCTGGTAGCTTTTTGCCAAGGCATTTCTCTCCCGCCACCAGTAGAGAGAGAACTTTGTTGGATTTTACATACAGCCTTTCAATGAATGAGGCAGCTAACCTGGAGCTAATTTACATGCACATTGCAGCCTTCTTTAAATGCAGCTCACATGATGAGGCAATCAACTAAAAAGCTATAAATTTGGCTAACATATGCTGTCAAGTTTTTCATATTATTCTTTTTCATCTTTAATGAATTATTAATTTGTAATTCAATTATGAAACTAAATTATTGTACTACTAATATGAATGAATTGTGTCGATTCTGCCTCTTGCATGTACAAAGAATGCATATCTTAAGTTGAAAAGGAAAATTTGAATGATTATGTAGTATTTGAAAAATTAATCTGATTGATTCATTGGCCCAAAGAAGTAGTTTGCACATTCACTTTTGACTGGGTGACCTTTATACTTTCAAGGTTATTTGTTTTTTTAAGGTGTATAATACAGTAATATACTTCATATTAATATATCAGTGGATGGGACTTGTAAATCAGTTGTTCTCAGCTAGGCGTATGTGTACCTTTGGGAGTATGCAGAGATATCCAGGGGAACCTCAACTCATCTAGATATTTTCCTAGTTTTAGAACAGGACCCATAAAAAGCACTAGTGAAGTCAGTACAAACTGATTTGTACACAGTGCAGCATAAACTAACTGAAATGCAAGTACAATGTTTATATTTCAGTTGATTTATTTTATAATTATATGGTAAAAATAAGAAAGTAAGCAATTTGTCAGTAATAGCGTGGTGTGATGCTTGTATTTTATGTCAGATGTTTTTAAATCAAGTAGCACTTAAATGAGGTGAAACTTGGTGGTACACAAGACAAATAAGGCTTCCAAACGGGCTACAGGACTCTGGAAAGATTGAGAACCACTGTTTTAAACTACTGTAATCTAATTATTTGTGATACTTGACAATTCCAGGTAGAGAAGTTCCTAAAACAGGTCAGTGAACCTATGCTGGAGACTATGATCCCGGAATCCTTTGCACAGGATAAGGTACAGGGATCCTCTACAAGCAGTGACTCTGAGCAACAGGAAAGTTCACAAAGCAATAATCTTAGTGTTAAAAAGCATGAACCGCTATCTTCTAGCATTTTTAGTCGTGGACTTGGAATAAACAGCTTTGATGAAGAGGAGAAGGAAGATGCAACAATAGGTGGCTCCACCTCTCAGAGCTCAGGAAGACAGGAATATCATTCTGGACGACAGCTAGTTGCTCTGGATATTCCAGATTATCTTCAGATAGAAACAGAAAGTATGAGTGAAGGTATGTACAGTTTTAAATAACTAGAGGCAAACTGGTTACAGACTTATCCTGTAAGAATTCTTTACCAAGCTGTTTGACATTTTATATTTACTTAATGAAACCTACTATTATTCTTAATTTTTTCTTTTCAGGATAATGCAAACTGAGATCTAGTTCATGCAGTGCTAGTGGAAGTGAAGTGACTTTGGCACTTTTTTCTGAATAAATTCTGACCTTGCCTCTGTTTTTAAATATGATCTTTGCAGCTTGTAATGAATAGCTGTTTGACACTGTCATTGCAGCTGCTTAGTTTCAGTGGTGAGCGAGAGTCTTTAATAGTGAACGATTCAATTAAAACAGAAATGTCTGATCTGTCAGAGTTTGGTTTCTTGGATATGTGGTAATACTAAAATTACTTTTAGTAATTTTTTTCTAGAAAAAAAAATCCAGTATTTTATGAGACTTTTTCATTTGACATTTACTATAGTCGAAAGGCATAGAATTGTTGAGGTTTTCATGTACATTCTGTTATTCCTGTGATTGTAGTTTTACTTATTTTAACATAAGATTGATATGAAGTTCTTCTGTGTAATCAGTTTTGATTTCTTGTTTAAATAGGAAGCATAATTCAGTTGCTTATACATGTTTATTACATTTCTCCCTGATTTGGTTAACAATTATTAATTATGCAATCTCAATTATATTGCCATCTGCTGAAAAGAATGGTATATCTGCTGAGATTCACTCCTTTGCCAGTAAAGCATCAGCCTTACAGATGAGTTAGGGATGTTAAATACAGGAATCAAGCAGCCAAAGTAATAGGAGCAGAGACTTGACTTTGGGGAGCAGGAGGATGTGACACTGTGGTGACTGTGCAGATCAGGGATGCTTGTCAGTGGGTGGCATGTCAACTGGAAATTCACCTCAAATACCTAATGACACTCTGAACTTTCATTCTCTGCCCTGCCAGTCCAAACCCACCTCGAGACACTTCATCGGTATTCCCCTTTCTTTCTTAATATAGTAATGGCTTGTGGCCTAGGTATATCTGTACTGGGAGTTTGTTATGGAAGCAGTACAGCCTGCATAATAGCTTTGGGAAGCTCCTGGTGGTTTTTTTTTTGTTTGTTTTTTGTTTTTTTTAAGTCACCAACCTGCAGAATCCTGCAAATGAACCTATATGGAATCCAGCAGTGTTGCTTAGTGAGGGTGTTGTTATAACTGTTGCCATATATCTACCAATATGCTACAGTCATCCTCTTGAAATCAGGTATTTCTGTAATGAAGATAACTTGGTGTTTTCAGTTGTAGCTGAACCAAATACCCAAAAGAAGAAAAACAAGAAGAAGAAGAAGAAAAAGAACAGAATGGCCCCACCATCTTTACCTATTGAGATTGCTACTGATCCTGAACTGGCCAAATACTGGGCACAGCGTTACAGACTGTTCTCTCGGTTTGATGAGGGGATTAAATTAGATAGAGGTATGTTATTAACTGCAGCGTGTAAACGTTGCAGTGGAAAGGTATTTAAACCTACACTTGTGTCATCTGATAAGAAACAAAGCAGAAGTGAACACTAATTACATCATTTTGACATGTAGGAATAAATTTACAGTGAGCTGGTACAGATCGTCATAGCTCATTGGTTTCAGTGGAGCTGTGTTGATCTCTGCTGAGGCTCTGCTACATATGTCAGACATGATCTTTGAAAATTATGCTGCCTGTAATTATGTCATATTTTATTTGGTTAATTTATGTCAGCAGTAGACATAGACAATCAGATGGCAAAAGGTGTAATCTGTATATGGCCAAATAAACTTTACGGTGTTGAAACATGTTGATTACATGTTGAGTTTGCATATTAAATGTTCTAAATTTAGTCACTTGTTATGCAGATCTCTGTAAAGTAGTGTTATGAGTTTTCCAAGAGGAAAAAGTCATACATTCATAGAAAGACTAGTGATTGTGTAACAACTTCTTGTCGGTTTTTTTTATCATTTTATTTCAAGCAGCTCCCTTGTATAGACAATGAAAGCTTTGTTATCTGGCATGTTGGAGGAATGGGAGGTGTCAGTCAAATATTTAAAGCTCTGCACCAATACAAAATGTGTATTTGCATCCATAGCCACAAAAATGAGCTGCAGATTTCCATGGGTGTGTGTACCCACGGGTATAAAGCGGATATCCACAGATTTTTGCAGGGTTCTACAAATATTCTGGTTAAGTAAGAGATAACTAGAATAAGCATGGAGGTGATGAGGGCTCTGGCTGGAGGTGTGCACTGCTGGGTGGGGCATGGGAGTGGGCTCAAAGCTAGGGGATGATGCACAGGAGGGCTTTTGGGTTGCCAGATATGGGCGGCATTTACCTCAGGTGATTCCCTGCAAGCAGGGATATTTCCCTGCTGGTTCTAGGTGGAGGTGTGGCTAGGTGACTCTGGATGCTGCGTCCATGCCCCATAGTTCCCAGCTAATGGGAGCTGCAAAGCCAGAGCTCAGTGTAGGGATAATGTATAAAGTCCCTGTGGCCGTTCTTCTTACTAGGAGCGGCAGGGACATGTCGCCACTTCTGGGGAGCTATGCGGAGTCTGTAAAGCACTCTGCTGGCCACATACCAAGTAGACTGTAAACTGAACTTTCCAAGAAGATCAGAAATGCTGGTTTATATGGCTTTCTGATTGGCGAAGTGCTGGGTAAACCAATTTTTACTGTATAAGGAGAAATATTAGGCATACAGAACTTAAGTTATAAAGTTCTATATTCTCTGCTGTTTTATTTCAGCTCTGTTTTACTGTTAACATACAAACCTACAGCAGATCCAGAATTTAACAGAATGGCATTGTTGTGACTGAAGTATAAACCATCATCTTTTCATCGCGGCATTGTAGGGCTTGTTCCTATGAGCTGCTGAGCACATTGGCTTGATCTAGAACTGAAGTACATGTTTAGCTCTAATTACATGAGTAGGCTGACTTCAGTGGGACTTCTCCTGGACTTAAAAGTAAACTTCTGTATGGAATTAGTATTCCAAACCTTACCAGGATCAAGCTCATGATTCCCTATAAAATGCGTAGTGCCATAGTTCCTAGGCTTAATTTAATGTTCAGCCTCTGTTTAGTTCTTTTTTGAATGACAGATTTTTGGGAACAATTGACAGATTTTCTTTCTGTCCCTTCCCACATTCCCTCCTTCAGAGGGCTGGTTTTCTGTTACACCTGAGAAGATTGCGGAACATATTGCAAGCCGTGTCAGGCAGTCCTTCAGCTGTGATATAATAGTGGATGCGTTCTGTGGAGTTGGCGGAAATGCTATTCAGTTTGCCTTGGCATCAAAAAGAGGTAATTATCTGTTTATACATATTGATTTCCCCACCTCACATCCCATCCTCTCTGCCAGTAGTCTTGATACAGGCTTTCTATACTGATGTGATCTACCTTATTATAATCTACCGCAGTATATAATATTCATGATCTTTTTACCATAGCATAGTCACAATCTCAACCTTTTTATTTATATGTTTGAAAAAATAAGGCTGCTCTTCTGTCATGCATATTTCAATGAGTTTATTTAAGATGAAGATGATCACTTATTTTATTATTCTAAAGTTATTTTATTTATCATATGTTGTAGTAAAATAGCAAATCTATATAATGGGCATGTCCCAATCTCCAATAGACTCCCATAGCCTTGTAGGAATTGGGCTGGGATAATTTAATATACAAATAAATATCAGGGCTATAGTTCTAATTAAAATGAATAATACAAATTAAGACCCACCATTTTTAACATCAATGAAGCTGCCACAAAATTTCCAGTCTCCTACATCAGAGTGGCGCAGAATATAGAGAACTTGCTGCAAAAGGTAGGTTTAGTTTGTAACAGACTTCCTGTGGCCATGCCCGTAATAAACTAACCTGCATCGTTGACCGGTTCTGAGAAAAGTGTCATCTAGTCTCCCCTAGCACTAAAAGAGATGAAAAGAATAGGGATGCAAGCGACTAATCAGTTAGTCACTATCCAGTAAGCAACAGCTTATTGGCTAGTCGACATACTAGTTGCTCTCCCTGCTGCCTCTATCAGAGGCAACAAGAGGTGGGGAAGAGGAGAGGGTGCTGCACGGAGCAGACTTAAATGCCAGTTCTTTCCAGCTCAGTTGGAGGAGGCAGTGCCACAACGGCAGCACGCCATCTTTGAAATGTAGAGCAGTCCCCGCTGGCCCCAGGCGTCACCCGGCATTTCAATCTTAGAAATGCACAAGAGCCCCCTACTGGGGCTCTTGCTACATTTCAAAGCAGAAGTGCCCTCATCAACTAATCTAATAGCTGATGGAAATTCCATCGACTATTCGATTAGTTGGTTCATCTAATTTTAACATCCCTAGAAAAGAAATTGTGTAGAAAATCTTCTTCACTCCAACAAGAATTAAAAAACCCCAGTGAACAAGAGATGTTCTCAAGAAATAGTTTAGCAGGATTAATAATTGCACGGTTCCCGAGAATCTTTTTTATTATTTTGTCAGTCTTGGACTGATTCTGATGAGACACAGAAAGTTAAGCTAACAGCTGTATTAGTGTCCAAAGAGCAGCTTACAGCTTCTTGTTTCCTTGACAACCATGCAGTTGTATGCCATGCATAAGCATATTACGTATGAAGTGTAAAATACGGCCAATAATAGGATCACATGCTGGTACAGCTGTGCCCATTGCTGAAAAGTAATGTTAATATAAAATTAGCTTGTTGCTGCATTGATCATTTATTGCATTGATCATTTATTGCTACTGCATTGAGTGAAAACAACTTCAGTGAAAACATAAAATATTCAGTATTCCTCTTCAGGGAATCTCTCGCTAAACATTCATGGGTGAAAAGCAGATTCATATTCTATTGCTGAATATTTTGTGGGGAAGGCAGGTGATGATGTGGTCTATGCTAAATTTGGCAGTTCAGGTTCAGTTATTTCCATAACACTTCTTTTAATATAAATTTAGTTTTGTTCTTTATATTTTGAGATTGATTTTTTTGTGTAAATACTTTTGTTGTGTCATAAGAGCTCTCATGCCATGTTAGGTGTACTTAGTTTCAGTTTAGTTTTCAGAAGAGTTATTGATTAGTGTTCTTTCTTGTAGCCCATCTTTCATTTATTCTTGGGGTAAGATCAACTGCCAGCTAAGTAATTTGAGCTGCATAGCTTAGAGGGTTCTGCTCGTGCCTAAGAAAGAAGTCTTTCCCTCCCAAAATGTGTGCTACATAACCAGACATTCACCCCAGTGTGTGTTGGTGGATCAACACAGTAGTAGATGCATGGTCTCAGATACCCCAGCTGAGCAATGCACAGAGAGCAATTGCAGAACTGTGCTTCGTAGCATGAAGAGTATGTACAATCACATCCCAAATCTCACCCGCTTTCCTACCTTCATGTACTGTGAAATTGTGCTGATTCTGTGGCATCTGGGAACCTCTGCTTTGCAGTGTCCAGCAGTAAGAGGAAATATAATTTGCTGTGTGTAAGCAACAAGATTGAGATAATTGGCTATTGGTATATGACAAAAAGGATACATATTTGTAGGTATGCATATTGGTATATTACAAAAAAGGTATACATATTTATAGAAGTCCCTATTGGAAACATACAGTTAGTGGCTTTATAAATGCATTCTGTACTTGAGAACTACAATGAAGCACCTTAACCAAAGGAACATCTTGTTTTGACAAGCAATAGGGACATCTGCCCATTGGATTTGTCAGCTTATATGTTTCATAGTGTTAATTCTTTTTCCTTATTTTCAGTGATTGCGATCGATATTGACCCTGTTAAGATCAGTCTTGCCCGCAATAATGCAGAAGTGTATGGAGTAGCTGATCAGATAGACTTCATATGTGGAGACTTCATGCTGCTGGCTTCTCATATAAAAGCAGATGTTGTGTTCCTCAGCCCTCCTTGGGGAGGGCCTGATTATGCCACAGCAGAAATCTTCGATGTTAGAACAATGATATCACCTGATGGATATCCTTTCAAAGTCATATGAGAGCTACTGCTATGAACATACATTAACAAGAGCTTAACTTCTTTTGGCAGGATAAAATAATGCATGATTCTTTAGCTCTGTCCTGTTCTATTGATATCTTAGGTTTTTTTTAACTTGATTTGGAATTGCAGATGAACATCACTTTTGAATATTAGGACTTATGTGTGTGAAGTTGGATACCTAAAATCTGAGATGCTAAGAATTAGTGGACACTTACAAAAGTTGGCCCTTGGTGATAGAGCAGCGGTTAATATTCAGGAGCACCTACTATCAAGACCATTTGTGCAGTAGATTTAGATAGTGTATCTCTAAAAATGATCAAAAAACAATTGTTGCTATCACATCTTTTTTTTTTTTTTTTTTTTTTAAGAAAAAAAGCATCAGAAGACTATATATTGGTTTGAAAACGCAATCTTGCGGGTTGGAATTTTCATATGTCCTGTCTATTTTCTTTCTTGAGGCCATGATCTTGTGTGACATGATCATCTTCACATTAATCAGTTGCAATGTTTTAGCCAGAGGATTATAGGACAGGTTTTTTTCTCCTTTATTAACAGAGGATTTGGCCTATGAATTCAAGAGAAAAGTAAGCAGCAGGATCATATGAAGACTCCTACACAACTGTTGCCTTTTCCATGCAAATGTACTTAATAATTAAAAATTTAAAAAACTGAAGGAGGGAGACTATGCAAAGCTGTCTGCAAAGCAGTCTTCTATTTCAGAAAATTAATGAGGCTGTGATACACTGATTTAAAGACCTATCACAGTTAATGGTATTTGTCATGTTGATAATAAAGATATTAGTATTTTGCTTTATTTTGATATCAGGCTGAGACTTGAAGTTGGAGCTGATAAATTTTATGTAGCTTTTTTGATAAATGAAAACTTTTTTTTTTCATGTAGACAGTAATATAAAAAGCATGTGATAAGACCTAGGTTTCTACTAATCAGCTTTCTAAATTATTGCTTTAAGAAACCCAAACAAATAAGAGTGTCCTAATTGTGTACCTGCACGCTTATTAGGAAATATGAGTTGTATCAAATTTCTTTTAAAAACAGGCAATAATTAATTAAATATAAGTAACTTATTTATTTTGTTCAAAAGGGACAAAATTACCTGTTTTAAAAGTGTAAACCAGACAAATGCTGTGTTAAAAGCTAGAATTTCTAGTAGCATTTTTCCCATATATAAATTATTTATAAAACATTCATCTAGTGCTCTTGAATGTGTTTCCAGTGCATTAAAATATATGTCAAAATATAAATGACGTAACCAGAAAAACTTTCCCTAACTCAAAACAAATACCTACAAAAACACATGGGCTATGTGTGAGGGTCAGTTACCTCTTATAAATTTATGAAAAGTATATCCTGTTTACTTATTTTTTTTTTCCAAAATGTCTAAAAAATAAGAGACTGGTTTCCTAAGATACACTATCAATAGCACAAAATAATTTCATTGTTATGGAAGTTTAATCCTGTCTGTTTTAGTGGATCATTTCTACATTGATGTTTTTAGCCTCCTGGTGGCCTATGAATGTGTTTGTTAACTTTCAATTAATCTTTTATATATGTGTGATTTATAAGAAAGATCAAGCCAGAATATGGAATACTAAACAGCCAGCAAATGAAAAATGGATCATTTCTACATTGATGTTTTTAGCCTCCTGGTGGCCTATGAATGTGTTTGTTAACTTTCAATTAATCTTTTATATATGTGTGATTTATAAGAAAGATCAAGCCAGAATATGGGATACTAAACAGCCAACAAATGAAAAATGTGTAACAGATAATAATTTCCTTTTAAGAAATGATATTAGTGAATCTCTGACACATGAAACACTTCATAACATCAAGACAAATTTATGGAATGTGAGGACTTTATCTATTTTGGTAGTGGCAGGTCTGATGTTTCAAAATAATAACTAATGCATAGCACCAACACATTTAATTAGAAGAGTGTAATATCTCTGATCACTAGATTGGGGCTGTTCTAACATAGCAAATAAACTCATGTCAAGCTTTTTATTTCCCTTTACTGGTCTCTACATTTGAAATTTTCAAGCTGTCCCAGAAGATCTCAAACAACATTGTGTATTTCTTGCCACGCAATGCTGACATTGACCAGGTAAGTTATCGTTCAAAAGCAGCTTTGTTAATGTAAATTGAAAATTGACAGTATGTTTTTCCTTACTGCATTCTAGAACAATAGTACATTACTCTCTGTTTTGTGTGCCGCTCTTTTCCAGATTCCTATAGACTTCTGGCAGGGTGTGTAACTGATATTTCTTTATCTAAATCAAACCAGTTTTATCATGTATTTTTAACTAGTACTGGACTTGAGAAGAGTTGTTGAATAACAAAATGCTCAGTATTCAGATTTTCAGTACATAAAGAAAGCTGAAGAAAACCGTTCTGCATCCTGGAATATCAACTTATGTAGCATCTTAGGTAGTGTGCAAAATAAACATGTTTTGGGCTCTAGAATATCAGTATGCTGCTAGAAGTTAACATAAGTTACCTATACAATTACTTTTTCATATACAGGCAGCTGCCTTTTTAAATCCTTTGCACATCCTTTGTCCCAAACACAAGCTCTCAGCAAATAGGCATGAAAAAGTATTTGGAGTCCCCTGTTGATAGGCCTGTCCCTACATGACCTATTGACTTATAGACTATGTCTACATTTGCACAGTTTTTGTACTATCATTTTCACTGGTGATAGAGTACCGGTAAAAGAAAAGCACTGGTTTGTGTATTCAAAGTCACAGGTGTCAGAGAGTGTTTACAACCTGAGGACAGCTATCCCACAGTGCAGCTCTCTTAGGAAGGGGAGCATGATCACAGGGCATCCTGGGTCCCTGCACAACCCCTTTGTTCAAACACCAATCAGCTCCAGTAGCTTAGCATTGCTGAAAGCAGGAGATTGGTTGCTCTGTGGAGCAGGCATTGTCATCTGGCCAAATTATAAGTGAACATTTGCCAAGAAAACAGGAAAGGGTTTCATAGTTCCCAGCCCTTTAAGGGGGAGTGGCAGACATCAGTTTATCTGGCATTAGAGCAGCAAAGCTGCTGGATAGAGTAGTCATCTAGGCACTGTGGGATATCCTGTGGTGGCTAAAAGCTATGTAAACAGCTTCACTTGCACATCACTACAAAAGCATCCCTGCTAAGAGCTGTGCCCCTCTCATGGAGGTGGTTTCATGGCAAAAAGTCATTGGCAAGTGTAGATGGGCCTTTTTGTGCTTTAAATGGAAAGTATAAACATGTCAGTGGGCATAGAATGTGGCTTTTGTCAATGGATTCGTTGTACAGCCGATTGCCCTTGATGGGCCATCAAACAGGCTATAGTGCTGATGCCAGTCTGCAGGGGGGCGGGGAATCCAGAAACACAGGTTTGAGATGCAGCTATATTACACGATTTATAACTCGTACTACTAAGTGATACATACATATAAACAAGATTATTGTACTTAGTGAAGCATAACTTTGCCATTGATACCTTACATGTAATATTCATTATAATTTTTTAATATTGGTATCGATATTATAAATGGTCACCTGTATTCCATACAGTGACACAGTAAGTACTAATGCAGAAGGATTTTTCCTGAAAAATTATGCCCTACCAGTTTGTAATCAGTAGGGTTTTTTAGAATGTTTTGTTCAGAAAATTTACAGGAATGTTAGAAAAAGCCTTCCCTTTTTGAAAGAACTGCGTCTAGACTGCGGATTTACTTTTGAAATAGCACTTTTTTGAAAGAGCGCCATTATATGATTATGCAAATGAAGCGTGGGAAATTCAAATCCCAGCTTCATTTGCAATTTCGTAGTGCCTAATTTACATCCCTCTGTCGAAAGAGAGATGTAATCTAGATGTACCCCTGGATAAAGTGCCATTTTATTAGTGTTGCTCTTCAGTTCTTTCTTTGAACTCTAGAGGGAGCAGCAGTATCAATAAAACCTGGAAAAATGAAATTAAGAACGTTCACAAAAAGCTTTTGGTTTTTTTTAATACTATCACATTGACTTGCCTACGATTATGATTCTTTGTTACAATAATTATTTTTGCATAAATTGCATTTTAGGTCAAATTGGAGATTAACAACTCTAGTAAAATATGAAAGACCTGTGTTGTTTTTTTTTTAAAGATTCTTTCTATTTATGCTAAATATAATGTAATTATTTCCTTGCTTTTTAAGTACTCTTTGTATGTGTGACATACTGCATGGTTTTAAATGTTCTTGTATCAGGGTTTAGTCACAGAGTATATTTTCTCTGATAAGACAAAAACTAGCATTTTCAAAGTATCAAAATTAGCAATCAAATAATTTAATAAGGCTTGGATTGAGAGAGAACTTTAATTGACTAAGTTAATGTGACTACTGGTTTTACATTTACATACCATAACACAAAATTTCACCTGGAAAACCTCCCTCAGTGGAAAAAAGTTTTACTTAGTCACACCTTTGAAGAGACTTCCTTGTTCCCTTTGTTTTGTTTGTTTTCAGTTTCCAAAAATCAAGCACAGTGTAAACAGTTACATACAGATAGTTGAAGAACCCACTGACTTCACCTGGTGACGTGTTCACTTACAGTGATTTTTCAAACAAAGCAGTAAAACCATTTGGATCAGAATTTGTCTCTAAGGTAGTAGTGATGGTTCTTGTTATCGCTTGTTTTTTCTTTAGGGAGTTTGCCACTCTCTTGAAATATTGCACCTTTTATTCTTAATGAGAGAGAGCATAGATGTGAAATGGCTGCTGTGCATATTGATCCATTTTCCCTTCTCTCAAACTGTTAATACCTTTGCTAAGAGTACGTGACCTAGGCTGAAGGAGATGGTCTTTCTAATATACTCATATTTGATCTGAAACTTAGAAGGAGAACTTATAACTAGATCCTAGGTTTCTGTCCAGTGTTATTTTGAACTACACAAAAAAACTACATATATTCTATCATTGAATGGTAAAAATAAAATTGGTTTTGTGGCGTGGCCCAACTAATATGATGACCTAAGTGGGTTCTAGACAAATCTCTATGTAAATCAAGGAAACATGGTTTCACATGGAAAATGCATATACAGGCAGTCCCCGAGTTGCGCGGATCCGACGTCGGATCCGCACTTACGAACGGGGCTTTCACGCCCCAGAGCTCGCAGGCAACGGGACCGCCCAGAGCGCAGCGGTCCCGCCACCTCAACCTCCGGGGCGAGAAAAGCTGCTCCGGGTGCCCCTGGTCTGCTGGTGACCGTCTCCAGCAGACCAGGGACACCCGGAGCAAAGCCGGGGATGCGGAGGGGTCCCGCGCCTCTGAGGCTATGCTGTGGCGGTGCCCCTGGTCTGCTGGGGACCATCTCCAGCAGACCAGGGGTACCGGGAGCAAAGCCGCAGCGGCGGCGGGTCCCACGCCAGAGCAAAGCCTCAGAGGCGCGGCACCCCGCTGCTGCAGCTTTGCTCCCCGTGTCCCTGGTCTGCTGGGGGGGGACGCAGCTGGTCTCCTTCCTCCCCCCAGTAGACCAGGGAGATGTGGAGCAAAGCCCCAGGCCTGTGGTAGAGCAAGTGGGGCGCTGACGGTTGGTCCCGCAGCACCGCTCTTTGGCGCTACTGGACCAACCCGGCAGCACCCCTGCTGCTCTGCCCCAGGCGTCCCCAAGTCAGCCGCTGCTGATCAGTTTCAGCAGCAGCTGAATCTGGACGCCAGTTCCGACTTACATACAGATTCAACTTAAGAACAAACCTACAGTCCCTATCTTGTACGTAACCCGGGGATTGCCTGTATGTTAATTTGAGAGGCTAGAATCTGACTCTTCCAGGAATCATACTCTTTTCAGGTATGTTGTCTATTGATGATGGTTCATATTGTCCACTAAAGAACTTCTGACGCTTTTTAACTTGCTGTTTGCTATTTACATTGTAAGATATTTGCACCAGCAGTTTATTAGTGATGGAAAGTGTTAGGAAAGAGCAGTAGTTACTGAAGTAAAAAATATTGGTGTGAAATATTCATCAAGAACAGATCAGATTTTTGCTTTTAAGTATGAAAAGAGCCTATTTTAATTTCTACATTTGTGGCTTCTCAATGCAATTTTAACAGAACTTTGGCTTTCATGAACTGAATTTTTTTTTATATTGAGATGAAAGATCTTTTTCCCTGTTAGTTGCCACAAAAACATTCATCAAAATTTCTTCTCTTACACACCAAAATAAAAAGGTCAGTTTATGTTAGTTTTATATTAGAGAAGAAAATTAGCAGGTTTTTTGGTAGCATTTAATTATTTTTTTCTATATTAGCTTTTAGCACTTAAGCAAATCTTGTTTCTCTTTAACTCTGTTTTACAAAAAGTATTGGATAAGGTAAGGAAAAATGAACACAAGGGCCTTTACTGGCAGGGGAGCTATTAATTGCTGACTTACTGCCCAAACGAATCATAATTATGTAAAGCTGACAGCCAACAAAATACTTATGTTTGGAATAATAACCAAAACAGCATGACAAAAATTGTCAGAATGATGATTTATAAGATGGCTGCAGATAAGTTATTACTCAGTGACTGCACAGGAGTTCCCTGTGAATTTGAGAGAGATTTTAGGCAAACTGCCATGGGATGTCCGCTAAAATTTTGTGCATAATAAAATCCAATTTTGTGCATAATAAAAGCCAACACTATGGCCCTCCACAGTATTTTAATCCATATTTTCCATGGCAACATCAACTTCTAAAGCATGAAATACCAAACTAGGCATATACCCACTGCATTTTTTCATAGAATATTTTTGCATAGAATGTAAGTCTAGAAAGGACTATCAAATCATGTTGTACAGGTCGCTTAATGTCACCCATATACCCCTATTTTAAGCCCAAAGGCTTTCCTTAAATTAAGGCAATTCACTCCTCAGGAGACTAAATTGGCAGAGAACAGGAAAGACTGAAGTATCTCCAATGCTTGAGGCCCCTGTAAGGACTGGAAATTGATTATGTGACATAGACCTGCATAATCTGAATGGGCATGCCACACCCCGTAGTGCAGGGGAAGGAGAAACTCCCAAGTTCCTTGCTAAACTGTCCTGGGAAAAAAATCCTTCCCAACACTAACTTTGGTGATCATTATGTGAGCAAAATGCACTCTGCAGGCATCTAAAAAGAGTAATTTCTGAACACCCTCAGAGCACTGGTCCATCCCAGACGGTGTCCAGTTTTCAACTGTGGCTAATCTCTGATGCTTCAGAGGAAGGGGAGGACAAATTTACCCAGAATGCACCTAGCCAGTTGTGTTGGGAAGAAATTCCTTCCTGGCCCCAGCAGACAACCTGCCCAAGCTGGCAGCATGAGATTTGATTATAGTCTGTCTCATGATCAATGAAGCAGAGAAAACAATGTGTGTAGCATAACACTCATTTCTATCACTGAAGCTTTGTGAGGAGTTGGTCCTTAAAACAGCTGCTGGTCCCTTTGGTTAGCAATACTTTTTAGACAAGGGCCAAGACTAAAACATAGCAAAGCCTGACCCTTTGCCTTCCCTTCAGAGTAGTTAAAAGAGTGAGATCTTACATAAATTTAAATGTGCAGTGATTGACACAGTATTACCAGGTAACTGTATTTACTATCCTTTACTTTTAAAAATGTATCTCATCTGTATAAAAAAACTCAAGTTCTCTGGTGTTTAATGAAGACTCAAAGCCGAAATAGAACCACAGAATAAATTCTGGATTTCAAATTTGCTTAATTTTAAGGTGCTTGGATTGGGCTTATCTCAGTTTTTAAACCAGAGTTTTGAGTGGTTTCCATAGATTGTTGTCATTTTCTTTGGATTTTTAAAGTATTTACATGAAAAATGCTGCCTACAAGGAGAGTGACTAGTTGGAACTTCATTGTATTTTGTGTAAAGCACAAATCATTTAAAGAATATTCTTTTTACCTATCTAGTTAGGATTTTTGTTATCTTCTATGATGTTAGAATATTAATTGCAATTATCTGCCTACATAGTGTATAACGTGATATAGGTGCAATACCACTATTGTAAGGTTGATTCTTTAGAGAAAACAAAATAGCTGTGTGAGTAATCAAAGAAATTGGGCATTTTAGGGGAGTCTATGCATGGTAAATGCATCTAGTAGAGGAAATTGATGTCTAGATTATCTACTTTAAGGAATTTAGATCTAAAGAAAGTATGAGGAAAAAATAAGAGGACAGAGAAACATTCCATGATGGATCATGTACCCTCAGCATATTTAGTAAATGTGCACATTACCTTAATTGCTAACCTAAAAGGAACCATAATTTTAAGCATTGTCTTAACATAAAGTAGCAATTCAGTCTCTTTTTCTGCTTATATTTTATTTTCCCCTTTCCCTTCTATTTAATTTAAAATATAACTAGAGTAGAAAGGAGAAATTTAAAAGAATTTGGCTTTTTAAAAAATTACTAAAAATAATGGGCAGTGCATGTTGATACTGTAAGAATAATGGAAAACTAAAGAACAGAATGTTTTGAAATAAAGAAATGGGGAATAGGGATTGAGGAAGGCAGTGATTGTAGTTTTAAAACACATTTGTCAGTTTGTGTAGTTAGTCTTGTGTAATGCTGTTTTTCCCCTGTAACTGTCATGGTTCATTGAACCCTGCTGATTAGAATTGCAGGCAAATGTCTTGTTCATAATTAGAGCTACAATCTCCAGTAATTTGTATGTAAACATAATTGGAAATATGTTCTTAGATTTTTTTCCTGCATGCAGGTTGTTCTGTTTGAGTGGGCAGCACCTTTTAACTGAATTCTGTTTTTCTCTGACAAAAAGGAGGTTGAGGAATTGGTATAGAGTGAGAGTGGGATTTGAGCAGACAATCTGTATTGTTCATATAGTAATAGAAATGTAGCCGTGTTAGTCTGGTGTAGCTGAAGCAAAATACAGGACTATGTAGCACGTTAAAGACTAACAAGATGGTTTATTAGATGATGAGCTTTCGTGGGCCTCAGATCAGGAAGTGGGTCTGGCCCACGAAAGCTCATCATCTAATAAACCATCTTATTAGTCTTTAAAGTGCTACATAGTCCTGTATTTTGTATTGTTCATGACATTCTGGAATCTTGAGACTTTTATACTTCTACATTTTCTTTATTTGCTTTTATATTTTTAAATTTTCTTTATTGCCCCTAAATTGTTTATACTCTTATATTTAATTAGCTTCAAGGAATCTGTCACACTTTGCTTAAAATATTTTTAATGCTTGACTGAAATTGTAACTATATTCATCATGGATATAATGCAGGTTGGACCCCTTTGGTACAGCACCTTTGGGACCTGACTGGTCCGAAATGAGGGAGCTTTCAGGGGCCAGGGTCAGGGGACCTCCCCAATCCAGAGTCCACCGACCCTCCCCGCTGCCATCTCGGCTTTGGGCCCAGACAGCCACTCTATCTCTGGCCCAATTAGGCAGCTGGTCCCAGCCAGCCTCCAGCCCACCAGCCCCAGCTGGGTCTGCCTCTGGCTCCTGGCCCTGCTGTCATGGTCTGTGGGGCTCTGGCTGGGTCTGCTGACCAGGGCTGCCAGTTGCCAGCCCGCTGCCACTGGTCCAGAGACATCCATGGTCCGGGATGTTGTCAGATGAGAAAATCCCAGTTTAGGGAGGTATAACGTGTAGTATGAAATTATTAACAACCACACCAAGGGTGTGTCTAGACTACAGGATTTGTCGACAAAAGTGGACTTTTGTCGACAAAACTATACCTGCGTCCACACTACCGCTGAGTTCTGTCGACATAACGTCGACAGAACTCTGCAGTTTTGTCGACGCTGGTAAACCTCATTTTACGAGGCATAACGCCTTCTGTCGACAGAGTTTCTGTCGACAGAAGGTGTTATTGCATGTAAACTGTCCTTTGCGTCCACACTACCATGTCGACAAAGCAGCTTGCTTTGTTGACAGAACTCAATGTAGTCTAGACGCTCTTTGTCGACAGAAGTTTTGTTGACAGTATCTGTCGACAAAACTTCTGTCGACAGAAGCCTGTAGTCTAGACGTACCTCAAGTGTAATTGTTCAAATGTGCTTCAGTACATGTTATCTTTCTTCAATGCATATGTCCTGCATTTCAGCTCTGAGTCCCAACATCTT